CCTGCTCTGCCCATGAGCTGGGCTAGACAAGACACCCTGCACGCCCTGGGAACATCTGCAGAACATCTGGAATGCCCAGGGTGAGTGTAACCTTGGTTTAAACAATCCATTGGCCACTTCCCCTGGTCCTGGAAACATGGCTGGGCTCTTTTGGCATCTATGGCCCTCTCCTATAATTGCCCTAGAAACCCCTACCAGACAGAGGCAGAGAGCAGGGTAGGAGCCTCCTGTAGTTCCTTCTGTACATGATGCCAAGGGTTTTGAGGGTGTCGAACCAAGCTGTCCCCTGCCCTGACGGCATAGAGTGCTAAGTGGGATCGAAGCATGAAAGGCCTTCCAAAGCTGCCCTTCTTGTCAGCTTGTCTCTGGCTCTGGGACTTCAGCCTCAGCAGCGACAACAGCATTCACAATGGATGCCCAGCTCAACCTGTCTGCTTTCTTTCTTTTTTTGTTTTATTTGTTTTCTTGAGACAGGGTTTCTCTGTATTGTTCTCTAGGTTGTCCTAGAACTCTCTCTGTAGACCAGGCTGGCCTCGAACTCACAGAGATCCGCCTGCCTCTGCCTCCCGAGTGCTGGGATTAAAGGCGTGCGCCACCAACGCCCCGGCAACCCATCTTTGTTCCAGGGCTGGCTGAGCCTGAGGGACTGTTTGTTAGCTAGTGCTTCCTGGTCAGGATATTCTGGTCAGTGAGCTAGTTAGAACGGGTTGTCTGCACCCCCTGGACCTGCTGGGTTGCATTTGCATCTTAACAAGATGGCCAGGTGACAGACACCTCCAGGCCCACTGAACCCTGAGAGGCAGCAATGACTTCTGCCACACCCGAACCCACCTCACCTCGGGGAGCTGTGGTGGTGGAGGGGGGATGCTGGGCCCTAGTGTAATTACTGCAATTATCCTGTTGGACTCGTTCCTGGTTTCACCTACACCTATTTCCCCTACCTTAATTTAAGTATTTGCATCTTGCCCTCTGGATCCTTCCCGACGCCAAGTAAAATACATTATTGCCAGGGACTGGTCCAGGTACTTGAACGCAGCTCACTGACTTAGCCTTTACAGTGCTGATGTTGTGTTTCACAGGGAGGAACTGAAGCTCAGAGGTTCGCAAATGATCCAGCCCAGGGTAGCTGCTGACTGGCGGGGCACCTGCCCAGTCAGCCCCGTAACTGTCTGGATGTCATCTTCAGGCAGGGACCCTCGCTGCTGGGAGGGGCAGATCTATACCTGACTTGAACCTGCCTGGAGACTTTCCGCAGATGCCCATGGCTCTGCGGGCGCGTTCTGTGCGGCGGCCCAGCCACGTGGGACAGGGAAAGAGAAGGTGTGAGTGGGGGAAGGGTGAAGAATGGCCTGATGCCCATCGACCTGCAAGCGCCTCCCAGGGTGAGGGCTGGTTTCAACATCTTTCTGGGAAATCCACCCATCAACGCGGGCCACGCTGAGCGTTCCTGGTACATTGTGCATTCTCTTCATTCGTGTGAAAGCCGCTACCTTGTTGGCTCCCATTCTAGTTGGGAGCCTTGCCTCTGGTCCCATGAGAACTGTCTGCAAGTGCAGGGTACTTAGGGGGAGGGGACGGGGGAGGGGGCCCCGAGGCAGCTGGGCAGCCTGAGGCTTGGGCATCTGGCCTCAGCTTAGTGGGAGTGAACCCCCACATGGTGAGGAGCGGGAGGGGGTCTTGCTTTAATGCCAGCACCTGGCCGCTACCCCATGCCAGCCTGCAGACACCTCTTTTAGCAGCAGGTCTGAAGGCCACCAGGCAATGCGACAAGGCTCTGAGCCACCTTCCCTAACCACAGTTGTCTTGGGTGGCGGTTTGTTGTTGTTGCTTATTTTCAAAGTTTTGTTTTTGTTTGTTTTGTTTTGTTTTTGACATAGGGTCTTATAGTAGCAGGGAGCTTTAAACCCTGGTTATCCGGTCTAGAGCTCCATGGTGCTGGGACTACAGGTGTGGACCGTAGCTCAGGGTCGGGCGCTCACTTGAACCCTACCCTAGGTTCTAGAAAGTCACACTTCAGGGATTGTGGAGAGTCGGAATATTGCAGGTCCAGAGCCAAACGATCTCGGGCTACGTTAGCCAGTACAGAACCACGGGTTGCCCTCTTCTGCGTGTGGGGGACCCATTGGTGTGAACTGATCTCCAGCTACTTCCCCCACCCGCAACGCTGAGACCCTCAGCAGGGCGCATCTGCGGCTCCCCTGCCGTCCCACCCCCCCAAGCTGGGGCTCCCACCTATTAGAGAGGAGTGTTCAGTTTCTGAATTTGTTCCGTTTCTATAAAAACTCACGAAACTGCCACCACGCGGAACACGGTGTTTGGGGTAACCCGAGTCTGTGTTTCTGGGCCACGGTCACTCCTGTTTGGCTCCAGAATAACCCCCTCTCTGGTCCCCTTTGAAGCGCGAGCTGTTTTAGCATCAGCACCCGCTGTGGGAAACATCGTGCGGTTGTCCTGGGAGGCGGGCGAGCCAGCGGGGCCGCTCACCTGTGACCTAAGAGCCTCAGTTGCTAGCACCGTGTGTAAAATGCTGCCCTCTTGACACCTGTGAGGCCGGGGTGGGGGAAGAAGAGGAGGGACCTGGCTGGACTGGACCGGCTGCCGGAGCCCGGCTCGCTCGCGGCGCGCTGGCGCCACCGTGCGGCCTCCCTCTGCCATGGCCGTGAGCCCGCTGTGGCGCTTGGGTGAGCCGGCTTTCCAGAGGCAAGACACAAAAGTTGGCTCTGTGTGTGTGTGTGTGTGTGTGTGTGTGTGTGTGTGTGTGTGTGTGTGTGTGTGTGTGTGTGTGTGTAGGACACAAAAGTTGGCTCTGTGTGTGTGTGTGTGTGTGTGTGCGCGTGTGTGTGTTTCCAAGCCGTCAAGTCCTGTGGCTATCTCTTCTAGCTGCCCTGCGAGCCTCCCTCCCCGCCCTTCCCCCACTGTCCTAGCCCCACTGCTGCTTACTGCTCAACACCTAATGGTCCCTTTTTCTAAAACTGCACGCACCTCTCGTCTGCCTCGGATCGGGCAGCAGGCTTAAGTGACGGTTGGAGACCTGGCATTGTGCTGCACAGGAACCAACAGGTCACAAGTGCTCGGCACCCGTTGAGGGCTGAGTGCAGTCTCTTCTGCTTGGCTTGAAGATGAGCCCCAGGTGTGAGCTGTGCAGTCCGCACACGCAGCCTAGAGGCTCCACCATTTCCATTAAAAAGCTGGCATTGCAGCCGGGCGTTGGTGGCGCACGCCTTTAATCCCAGCACTCGGGAGGCAGAGGCAGGTGGATCTCTGTGAGTTTGAGGCCGGGCTGGACCGATAGCCTCCAAAACAATACAGAGAAACCCTGTCTCGTAAAAACCAAAAAAAAAAAAAAAAAAAAAAAAAAAGCTGGCATTGCACAGAACGAGGCCAACCCATAAAACTCATGTTAGAGGGGAGGGAGAGGGAGCTGGGATTGACATGTGAAGCAAGCTTGTTTCTAACTTAAGGAAAAAAAAACTCATGTTAGTAATTTCCCAGTGTTTCTTAGAACATTCAGTAGCAAGGGGACCGGGACCGTAGAGAAAACCGCACTTGCCCCCTCCTCTTGAACAGATGACACTGCTGAGGAGTGCCGTCAGCACTACATGGGAGGGCCCACTGGGCTTCATCTCTGTGTTTGGCTAGCAGTGTCGTTTGCTGTGTGAGCTGCATCACATCCATGTGCTAAGTCTGTAGACCTGAAGGAGTTCTGAACCTTCCGCAACTTGGTCTCTATTAAAATCACACGGTTAGCAACACCAAGGAAATGTTACATAAGAATATGAAGGGTAGAGCAAAGGTAACTGCTTCATGCTCAGCGAAAAAAACTCTGGACTAGGAGACTAGGGCTTGTAAGAGTTCAGAACCCCAGAACCCACAGAAAAATCTGGGCAGGTGTGGTTGCTGCTCATAATAATCACAACACTTGGGAGACAGATGGGATCACTGCGGCAAGCTGACCCATGGGCTCCCTGGAACTAGTGATCTCTGGCTTCAGGGAGGCCTCTGCCTGAATAAAGTGGAGACCGAGAAAGACATCCAACATCCACACACAGGCACATGTCTACTCTCTCTCTCTCTCTCTCTCCCCCCATCCATGCTTCCCGGGTGCCTCCGCTCAGTCAGTAGTATCACTGGACTCTACCCATGGGACACTAGCAGCACCATCTCCTCAGTTGCAACTTCAAGTTTGTGTCGGGTCAGCACTGCTGGCCTCATGATCAAAGAGAGGGTGCGCTCCTACAGCTTACCAGCAGAACGTAGCCCCCCGCCCCAGCATCACCCCTTTTCTTCATTTCCGAAACCAATAAACACAAAAGACCGTGGGAAACAGAAAGGTTTGCCTCATGGGAAAATGGGAGATGAATGACACAAAGCAGAGTGAAGCATAGACCCCGAGGGCTAAGGGGACAGCTCGGATGGAAAGGTGCTGGCTGTGCAAACATCAAACTAAGCTCAGGGGGCTGGACTGGTAGCTCAGTGGTTAGGAGCACAGGCTGTTCTTCCAGAGGTCCTGAGTTCAATCCCCAGCCACCATATGGTGGTTCACAACCATCTGTAGTGACATCTGGTTCCCTCTTTGGGCCTGCAAACACTGTATACATAATGAATGAATAAATAAATAAAGCTAAAAAAACCAACTAAGCTCAGGCCCCACACTACATAACAAGTTAGATGCAGTAAAATGTGCGTGTATCTCTGCAAGGAGGAGAAGACACGAGGGAGGATCCCTGGAACGTGGGAGATAGCAAGCCAGAAAGCAAAACTGCTGAGGCCCAGGCCAGGAGGACCCCACATCCAAAATCAAGGTGGACGGTTTCTGAACAATGACAGCTGAGGCTGCCACTAGTCTCCACAGACACCTGCACACACGAATGTGCACACGGCGCACACAGGCACACACACACACACACACATGCAAAGACACACATTCCTGCCCATACACCTGCACACACAAATGTACACACGTGCACACAGGCACACAGAGAACACAAACATCACAATGATGAATTTCCACAAAATAGATTTTATTGTATTGAAAATTTTATAAATAAGATGACTGGTTACTCATAAACAATTGTATCCAATTAAGTTTTCTAAAGTTCAAGAACACTTAAAACCTCATACTTAGAATTTTTATATACATGGGATCTTATTCTGTACTGCTATACCGGTATCATTATAGACTAAAGGAGAAAGAGAAAAAGCAAGAAAAACCACCACCACTGAGTTTCTAGTTTTCAACAGGATTTCCCATCTGGCACATTGTCACAGGACAGACAGACAAGATGCTCACCAGATTTTAACACTCCACCCAACACACAGCTTTAAGAGATCCAAAGGCACTGCACCTGCAGCTGCAAGAGATTCCTGGCACTGTTTCTGCAGCTACAAGTGCCAAACAGCAGAGAATTTACACAAAGCATTAGAAAGGCCGACCTTGGCAAGTTACACACCCAAGTGAGTTATTGTAGATCCAGAAAGGAAAGGACACAGCATTTTAAAATGTAAGACGTCTGTGTGTTTAATCGTGAGGCAGATCACATTAAAACACTTCTGACCCTGCCAACAGCACTTAAGACACATGAACCTCTTTCTGATGAGGTCTTCAGAAAACTGTAGACAAACAGCAAACGCCTTGTCCTCACACAGGTGAAGGCAGCATCCCCCTCAACGGCACACATCCCACACTGCTGTGTTCTGAAGCTGTCTCGCGGGGCTGTGGACAGAAAGCAAAGGTGACCTGCTTTCTCCCCAGTACCTTAAACAGACGAGCTCTCTGAAGATAGTTCTCCAACATTAAACATCAGGGAACCACACGTGTGACTTTAAGTCACACAAAGACCCTGCGGCATTTGAGACTGTTCAGTTCATACTTAAGGGCACTTAACAAAATTAATCTCATCAAACACAGACGGGGCACAGTGCAGAGCTTCAGTGCAGTAACCATTTGTTCAAGGCCATTCAAGAACTGGGAGAGTATCCTGGGACACAAAGGTATTTCAGGTAGAGAATGACATTGAGCAGTTCTCCTGGGCTCGCTAGCAGCCACAGGACAGCAGGAAAAGAGCGTGCCCCTCGGTGTCAGCCTCCTCCTTGGATTTCTTCACGACTCTAAATCTCTCTTCTGCACTCACTGAGAGCTGTTCTGGAAGGAGTTTCCCTGAAGGTAAATCCACGTTCTTAGGTAGACGTTTCAACATTTTCACTCTCCCAGAGTCTAAGTCACTGGCATTTAACTTGCATGGTGAACAGCTTGGAACTGGAATGCCAGGCTGTTGGATCAAAGGCGGGGTCTTTCCCTGACCCTGTGGCAGAGTGGAGACTCCTGCTTGTCATATCTTATCAACAGTGAGGCCACACAGCTCAAGCTCATCTGGAAACTACAGTGAGACAGGATGCACCACAGCCAAGCACCACCAAGTGGCTGATGGCATAGAGAGACTAGACCACATACATCATCCACGGTCATGGACAACGGATGCTGGGCACACAGCTCCTGCTGCACATTTACAGTGTAAAACTAAACATGACAGAATCAGGATACCACTCAATCCCATAAACTGAGGTTAAATATTCTTTCCCTAACATTATTTTCTCCTAAAATCTACAGTGTCCCATCTCAAACTCCCAGTAGTAATAGCACACAGGATCAAAAGCCCAACCAACCAGCAAAGGCACCACGCTTTCTACTCAGGGCTATCAGGAGGCAAAGGGAGACGTGTCCATCTTGTGGACCTGCTGCTGAAAAAGCGCACCAACAATGCAGCACCACACTCACTGCGTACAAAGACAAAACTCAGAACCAGACACAACCACAGCAGTCGAGTGCCAGTCTCTAGTGGGCTGGCCGCATCCAGTGCCCACCCAGCTCCACGTGTGCTGGCCTAGCGCATGCCCAGAATCTGCCTGCTCTTCAGCTGGTAGTTTTTTTCAATATCCGACAGGGCTTGAGCCCGCAGCTGGGCAGCATGAAGCCTCTTCTTCAGGTCTTTGCACTTGGACTTGGCAAGCTGGCTCTCGGAATTCTCACTCCTTGTGGTGTTCTCTTTGCTCTCCCCACGGAAATGAACCTTCTTCCTCATCACGGAGGGGTGATCAAGTTCTTCAGAAAGAAAAAGAAAGGGTTCTGTGTTACCTGAGACCAGCTCTGTCATGCAGACCCGAGACCAGTGTCCTACAGCTGTCACCTCTGTGAGTGCGGGGTGACAGAAATCAAACTGGGTTTCTATTTTAAGACATGTAGCTGCATTACTTTTAAACTGTGTGTGTTGTTATGTGCACGTGAATGCAGGCACCCTCAAATCCAGAAGAGGGCATCGGGGCCCCAGGAGCTGCAGTTACAGGTGGCTGGGAGCCCCTGATGTGGGTGCGGTGAACTGAACTCAGGTTCTCTGCAGGAGCAACATAAGCTCTAACCACTGAGTCATCTCTCCAGCCCCACTTTTTCTAGTATTTGTTTGAGCTATCATCTTGCTATGTAGCTCAGGCTGCCCATGCCCTGAGATGCTCCTGCCTTAGCCTCCTTCATACTGAGTTTAAAGGTTACACAGGCATTGAGTTGATACCAAATAATCAAGGACAAATGCTTTCATTTCTTACTAACCAACCTTTCTCTTATGGCTCAATGCACTGGGGTTGAGGGAAATCAGTATTTACTCTGTTCCTGAGAACCTATGACAGAACACATCCAAGCATTCACACAGCTCAAGCACCAGAAATGTGTTTCTAAGCAACCACGGAGTGAGCAAGGCCAGCTGAGCTACAGTGACTTAGTGATCCACGTCTCACATGCACTGACAGCCTTACACAGTGACACCCTAACCACAGACGGGGCTGTTAGGGGCTGGGAGGTCCAAGACCTTCTAACTTTCCCTTTGTGTGCATTTAAAGGAAATAAGCTCAAATACTTACCGAGTTTACACTATGGGCCACTGTGAGCATACATAGGCCCTTTTCTGGAGGGCACGACAGGCCATAAACAAGTACAGATGGAGATCTGAGTGGCGTGTGGGGAGAGGGCACAGAGGTGCAGACAGCCAGCTGGATGGTGCTTGTGGGGAGAAGAGGGAGCCTCAGAGATCAGGTGTGAGCTAAGTTCCCAGGGAGATGAAGGGAGGGAGACAGCTGGAGAGGCCGGAGCCTGGCTCCCAGAGTCCCTGTCCCTCTTCAAAGCACAAGCTGCTGCCCGCAGACCTCAACACCCCTGCCACTGCCAACAGTGCGCCTTCAACTGTGCATCTCCCTAACGGGTGGTCCTGAGACAGCGCTTGGAAAAAGAACACCGCATCCAACAGCAGGAATGGCTCGTAAGTAGACAGAGGGGCTTCCCATGGAGCTGCCTGCTTGGCTGACCTTAGCCCAACTTCACAGCCCACTCACTGCGCAGGACATCTCATCTCTGCAGTGCCCTGGGCCCAAGCTGCCATCTCCCCGCCCTCCACTCTGCTGCTCGCTGTGCCTGACACACCCAGTGTGTATCACTCATCTCTGAGCTGCAGGGGGCGCTGCAGCTTCCTTTAAATACCACACTCACACTGGTGCCACACCCATCTATGCACCTCATCAAGCCAAACCTAGCACCTCACTCAGCTACACCCCTGCTCAGACACCAGGGCAAGAGCAATCCCCAAACGGGTGTTCAATAATTGTCTGAGTGTGCATATAAAGTGCACACTTGATCACGATTTTATCTATTGTCTTTATGGATAACGTTGTGGAATCTAAAAACTGCTGAAATTAAGGCAGGTGTGGTGGCGCACACGGACAGACAGACAGATGACACACACGGACAGATGGACATCTGTACATTAGAGGCCAGCCTGTTCTACACGCCCTGTTCTAGGTCTCTATTAGCCAAGTCCATAGAGTGAGACCCTGTGTCTCTAAAAACAAAAAACTATCTCAAAGGTTTAAACAACCACCCAAAGCAAAGGTTCACTCTGTGGTTGGCTTTAAAAAAAAAAAAAAAAAAAAACCACAGGATCTGTAGCTATGGCTAGCCTAGAACTTGCTATGTAGACCAGGCTGGCCTCAAATTCAGTTATCTGCTTGCCTCTGCGCCAAGTGCTGGATTAAAAGTGTGCAAAGTCAGAGGGCAAGTTTTGGGAGTAGGACTCTCCTCCACTAAGTGGGTCCTAGAGAATAAACTCAGGTCACCGGGCTTGGTGGCAAGCACCTTCACCCACTGAACCATCTTGGAAACCCAAGTTGTATTTTCCTTTTTGCTCTTTATTTATTTTTGCTGTTTATTTTGTAGATAGCGTGCATGTACTCTACTCATGGGGGGGGAGTTGAGGGAGGGTTATGTGCATGTGAGTGCAAAGGTCTGAGGAGGGCAGAAAAAGAGTTCGGTTCCCCTGGGTGTGGGCGCTGGGACTCAAACTCGGGTCCTCAGAACAGTGAGGCGGCTTGAATAAGAACAGACCCCACAGGCTCATACACTTGAATACTCATCAGGGAGTGGGGGTGCTTGAGAAGGATTAGGAGGTGTGGCCTTGCTGGAGGAAATCCAGCTGTCACTGGGGGTGGGCTTTAGGGTTTCAAACGCCCATGCCAGACCCACAGGATGAAGATAAAAGCTCTCAGCTACTTTTCCAGTACCATGCCTGCCGCCACACTCCCCACTATGACAACAATGAACTAAACTCTGAAGCTATAAAGCCAACCACAAGCATGTGCTTTCTTCTCTAAGTCGTCTTGGTCATGTGTTTCTTCACAGAGTGAAACAATGCTAAGACATTGCTAAGCAGTGCAAGCTCTTTCCCAGGAGCCGTCTCTCCAGCCCCTCCCCGTTTCCTATGATCAGACTGAACTCACTATGTAGAACAGGTCGGTCTCAAACCCCCAGCGATTCTGTCTTCCAAGTGCTACAGGGTTACAGATTTGCACCACCATGTCTGCTAAGCTACACTTTCTATGATGACTAGAGTGTGGCATTTTTTAAATACCAGAGTTTTTGCTTGAAAATGAAGAGAAATATAGCTTTGATAACATAACCAAAGGAAATAATATCCAGGGGACAACTTGAAATGTAGTTTGAAAAAGTTTCCTTGGATAAGGTGAGTGAAGCTGACAGAAATTGACTCCCGTCTCCTGTCTCTCACCGGCTAATGGCGTCACGGTTTGCACATGTCCACATGGGGCAGAGTGTGCAGACAGACATACCTGGGTCACTAGCCAGACACAGCAACCTCTGCTCCTTCAGCAAGCTGTAGTTCTTCAGCAGACTTTCGGCTCTGGCCAGTTTGTCCTCTGCTAGCCTCTCTCGGATACACAGTTCACGTTCCTTCTCTTTAAAACAGGGAGGGAGGGAAGGAAGGAAGGAAGGAATGAGTAAGGGGCTCTGGCCATCAAACCACTCACTTCTGCCTGGCGGGCTCAGCGCTTTGACCCATCCCTCCAGGGAAGTTCCTTCACTGCCTTGGTTCTCAACCTTCCTGATGCTATGACCCTTTAACACAGTCCCTCACGTGTGACCCCAGCCACACAATTACCTCACTGCTCCTTCACATCTACGGTCTTGCTACTGTGTGAATCGTAAGGTGAATATCTGGTACAAACTGAACATAACTAACGCATAGTGACTAATCACAAAAATAATATGGAACTATACATTGTGAATATTTCTAATTACAAATAATAAAACTTTGTCTTGAAGCATGGTGTGTGTGGCATGGGTAGCAGTCTTACTATAACGTCAACTAGACTGCTACATAGTGCAACAGTGTGTGTAAGAAGCCTGTGTCTCTGGAAGGCTGCCGCTGCTTCTTACCAGATAACATATTCTCAGGGCAGTCTTTGCAAGAGCATGAGGAAGGTACCTCCCCAAGTCTACTTCTGTGGGCAGAAATGATAACCAACAACCTGGAAAACCCCGTTTCACAAAGCTATGTAGTTGGAAATAGAAGGGGCAACAGTCTCAGACGGAACAGGCTATGAATCAAACGCGTATCCAGACTGTGTAACTGCCATTGTAGAGAAGTTGGTTCTCACGGCGTCACCGCTCATAAGTGATGAACTCCTCCTGTGCTGTCTCAGGGACATCTTCAACTCTGACTGTGAATGGAATTCTGGCAAGTGCAAATGGGTGTCAGGTAGATTTGGAAAACACAACGGATTGTCATGTGCAAGCATGAGCAAGGGTAGTGTTCTTTCACAGAAACTATTGTAATCTTGTCTGGCTCAATGTCATGTTCCTTAAAGAAAGCAGATAAGCTGGGCAACATGTGAATCCTACTGGCATCCAATTCGTTGTTTTTGACAAAGCTGAAGTTTTATTTGAAATGGCCTGATCTTTCAGACAAATGGAGGCATGTGCATCTGTGCTCACAGTGATAAATTAACTCCTTAGAGATGGCAAAGATGTCCACCAAGTAAGCCTTCACTTCATCACCGCCAAGTGCTCCCTACTGCGGTCTTCCTTTCTGATTAAAAATGTTTTGAATTCATCAAAAGAACATTCTAAAACTTTTCCTCTAATCCCAGAACTTGGGAGGCAGAGGCCCAGGATTAGAAGGCCTCGGTGGCTTCCATGGAGGCTTCAAGAGCTGTCTAACACAGTATCCTTGTTGGCAAAGCTCAGATGCTGTTATCAAAATGCTGTTTTAGTTTGTTTGGCTTCATAAATTCAGCTTATAGAACTTCACAAAAAAATAGCACAGTGTAATTTCTCAATTCCTGCTCAATTATTGAGATAAAAACCTCACTATAAAAAATCATCACTATTCTTTCCTTTCTTAATGTTCCTCCCTACACGATCCATTGCCATGGGATGCTTTTCTGATGGAAATAATACATAACAGTAGCTTTACTAATACAGAAGATGACACATGGCATAGTTCAGTCAATACAGTTCATTGAAGCTTGCTGTGATTTGTCTACCATTCTGCGTTGCTTTTCCATACCTGTGACTGTCACAAGGGGGCAGTATTCACAGCTGACTATAGACTGAGCAGCATCCACATTAAATTCCCAGGGTACAGTTTTTTCCACCAGTAGCTGATGATTTTACAGGACATGATTTTACTTTTAAGCAATAATTATAATTCATGAAGTGCCATTTTATCTTTAATACTGATGCTTTAGCACAGTTGCGGCTCTCTATTATGTGTGTGACTGGTCCACAAAAGTACGCCATGGCACCGACCCTGTCACACACCTGCATTTGTTCCAGACGCATGTGATGGGCTGACACAATGATGTCACCATCCCAGGTACTTGTATGTGGGTGTGTCTGCATGTGAGCAGACCCGCCTGGAGACGGACAGAGGACAGTCCTAAGACCATGGGAAACAAGTGTTTTCCAATGGTCGGAGCTGACTCCCGCAATTGTGACCCACAGGTTGAGAACCATTCAAAAGAAAAGGGCTGGGATGCAGCCCACAGGCATTCAGAGTCCTGGACTCGGTCCCGAGCTCCTCACCCCAGGAAGAAACAAAAGGCTCTAAAGGCCTGTGCATCCCCAGCCCGCTCCCCCGAGGCACAGCAGGTAGCTCCCCGGGCTCTGAGCACAACTCACGCTCCAGACTGTCCTCTCGGGCTCTGAGCGCACGCTCTCGGTCCTGCAGTTGCTTTTCCTTCAGCTTGAGCTCACTCAGCACAGGGCTGGAGGCCTGCAGCTTGGGAGGCTCCCCTAAGCGCTGGCCTCTCCTCTCTGGATGTCTCCTTTGCTCTTCCGCAACCAACTCTGCTATCAAAGGGCTCTCCAGGATTTCCTCCACGGAAGGCCGGTGGTAATCCTGGAGACAGTGTAGCAGGCAGATCACAGAACAGACATCTTAAGAAAAGCAGGTACGTTACAAGGGTAAACTAGACAAAGGGCAGTTCCTATATCCAGAAACATCTGAAAAAACAGGTTCACTGGCCACAAAGTTCTGGGTCTGCAAGCTGACGCAGGGTTTAACTGACCTTTCTCACCCCACCCTTCAAGGAGGCTCAGGCCCTGCAGGACAGCACACTGTACATACACTGGGGTCTGCTCGCTCACACACACACACACACACACACACACACACACACACACACACACCTCCCTCTCACTTTCTCCTCAGGTCCCATCCCATGGCCCAGAGACCTTTGGTCAGGTTATCTGCCCTCTGCTCTGTTCCCCTTCTCCCATATTGTGGTCTCTGATCCCTTACAGTGAGGGAGAGCAATAAAGCCCCACATATGGCCCCTCCCCTCAGCACTGCTACTCTGGGTTTTGACTTTTCCAGTCTTTCCATGTCACTAACCCTAAATCAGTGCAACAGAAGGTGGCAGGGAAAACAGGAAGTGAGGTTCAAAGGCTGCTCAGGGTGTTTCCACGCCTATGAGCGCACCAGTACTAAAGGATTTGGCCAGGAAGGCGGATGCTAGTCCTCATTAGTCTATAGCAAGGATTCGCCCCAAGTTTCCCCAAGTGACAGTGCGCACAGTCTTGCAGCCATTACCTTTAAATTCAGCATCCGAGTGATGATGTCATTTAAGCCATCAGAGTAGCGGTAGGGGATCCGCCTGAATCTCCCTTCTCTGATTTTCCCAGCTAACTCTTTCTGGTTGAAGGCTGTAAATGGAGGCCTGGGATTTAAAAACAAATAAATGAAAAGGAGAAGAGGAGGAGGAGGAGAGAAGGGAGGCAAGGGAAGGAAAGGAAGCTTAAAAAATGTTAAATGAACGCAAGAAGAGGAAGAAAACGAGCTTGCGTTCTATTTCCCAGCTGGGTCTCCCCTGCGGCTACACTTAGCAGTTTCGTGGTGCAGCCTACATTTCGGGTTGGGCAGCTCTGACTTGGGGTCGGTCCCACATGTTCTGGGTATTATACAGCACCGCACCTTCCCTACCGCACCCAGGAGCACAAGCCAAAGTGTCTCCCTGTCAGAGGGGAGCACGCTTCCCTTCTCCATCCCTGGAGAACCGCGGTTCTGTGGAACGGCTTAGAATGAAGGAGCAAACTGTCAAGACTCACAGCCATGTCCCCTTCTCCAGACCCCAGACCTGCCAGGGACCCCTACTGCCCTCTTCCTTTGTCTGCCTGACCTAGGACCCTGCCCTGAGCTACGTCAGCTTCACTGGGAACCAGATCCTTGAACAAAGCAGGACGCAGCCCCAGGGCTTCCATCCTTAGTTTGTACAAGTTGGGGTGCGTTGCTGTATGCCCCTCCCACCCACCCAATGTGGTACTGCTGTTTTAACTTGTCTCTGTGTTAGTCTTAGCAGGGCCCAGGGACAGGACCGACAGTGCCAGCCTGTGCTCAGACGCTGTCTGCCTACTCACATCAATGCACACAGCTCATACAGCAGGCAGCCCAGCGACCAGATGTCCGACTTCTCATTATAGGACAAGCGACTCATCTGCTCCTAGAGGACAAGGTAAGGAAGTGCCAAGGAGTTGAGAGCTCGTTTTGTTTCAAAGTTTAAAAATTTCAACCTGAGGGCTGGGAAGTCAGCTTGCTTAGCAGAGTCTGCCTAGCGGGCACAACACCTGGGTTGGATCCCAAGCACAAAAACAACCAACCAGGCGTGGTGGCTCACATCTTAAGATCAGCTTTGGGAGGAGAGGCACGAGGATCTGACATTCAGTGAGAGGGCTGGGGCTGTCTCAGCAGTCAGGACTGGTCACTCATGCAGAGGACCCCATTTCATTCCAGCACCCACATGACAGCTCACTACAATCTCCAGCTCCCAGGGATCTAAGGCCCTTTGGTCTCCCCAGGCACTGTTACACATATGGTGTACATACATACAGGAAGGCTAAAAAAAAAAAATCTGGAGTTATTTTCAGCTATATAACAAGTTCTAGGGTGACCCAGGTTGTATGAGTTACTGTAAAAGAACCAACAACCACAAGCTAAGCCAACCAAAACAAAGCCCACAATAAATCAATAAACTGAAAACAAAATAGAACCTTAAAATTCACTTTGAAAATATTCACTTAAGAATATTAAATTTTCCATCTTTAGTGAAATTTTTCAAAATTCCGTATCTAAAAGACTAGTGTAGCTTAGACTATAGTAATAGCGATGGTGGCTTCTACTCTCTCCTGTTTACAATGGCAAAGGGGCATGACCTTGTCCTGACCTTGTCCTGGCAACTTTGTCACACACGACTCATCCAGTCATCTCATTTTCACAAACAAATGCTTACTGTGGGCTTGACACTAACAATTCAAAGGCAAGCATGAGAGCCCTCCCCGCTGTTTGTAAGGGAAGAAAACGCCATTCTATTTTGTTTTGTTTAGAACAGGGGTCTAAGACACCTGTCTCAGCCTCAAGGTGGCTGGAACTACATACAGTTGGAGGCACAGAGTACAGATACTCCATTTTAAAAGTCAGAGGAACTGGCTGGTGGAGCACAGCTGTAGTCCAGCATCTGAGGGGGACAGGCCAGAGGAGCAGAGTTCAAGGCCATCCTCCATTAAATAGCAAGTTCAAGGCCAGCCTGGACTGCATGAGACTGTCTTAAAAATAAATAAATTGAAATAAATAAACAAATAAATAAATCGCCGGGTGGTGGTGGTGCACGCCTTTAATCCCAGCACTCGGGAGGCAGAGGCAGGTGGATCTCTGTGAGTTCGAGGCCGGGCTGGACCGACAGTCTCCAAAACAAGGATCGTTGAGTCGCGGTCTGTGTCTCCTTACTGGATAAACCTAAACATTTTAACAACAACCCTGTCTCGCAAAAACCAAAAATAAATAAATAAATCAAAATAGGGGGCTAAGAGATAGTTCCAGGGATCTGATGCCCTCTTCTGGTCTCCACAGGCAACACACATTTTCTAAATCACAATGAATGAATTATAGAAAAAAAAAACTGGAATAACCAAGACATGCATTTAGTTCACATCTCAGTATAAATACACATAAAAATCTAATCTATTTCTTTATATTCAAACACACACACACACAAAACCACTCTATTTTGTTTTTCTCAGCCCATGGCCTTTAATCCCAGCACTCGGGAGGCAGAGGCAGGCGGATCTCTATGGGTTCGAGGCCAGCCTGGTCTACAGAGCGAGTTCCAGGACAGTCTCGAAAATACAGAGAAACCCTATCTCAAAAAACAAAAACATATATGTGTGTGTGTGTATATATATATATGTATATATATATATATATATTTTATAAAAGAACCTGGGTTGTAGCTCGGTGGTAGACTTGCCTAAAATGCCTGAGGGTCTTGGTTCAATCCCTAGTCCTGAGGGGAAAATAAAAACTTAAGCTGTACTGTGAATTCTGGGTTACTGAGTTTCTTAGCAACCCAAGCCTCAGTTTCCTTATCTGTGAATGCTTCACCCAAGATATTAAAAACTCTCTAAATTCTGAAATACTCACAGGAGACATGTAATAAGGTGTGCCAACAAACGTCTTTGCAAAACTCGTGTCGTGGTTTAATATTCTAGCGAGTCCAAAGTCCCCGAGCTTGACGTTGTGTTTGCTGTCCAGGAAGACGTTGGCTGGCTTCAGGTCCCGATGGAGCACAGTGTGGCCACCGTCACTCCTTCTGTGACACTCTTTCAGGGCCAGGGTCAACTGAGTCATCACTCGAAGCACAAACTCTTCCTCTAAGTATTGTCTGGACCAAAAGCAATCACACATTTTATTACCCTGAACACAAACATTGCGGAATGCTGGATCAGCTACTTAAGCCTCCAAAGCGTACAGACGTGGAGGTAAATTATTGTTAGACATGAAATAATGGGTACTGATTCACTAAGGATTTCCCAGTGTACCCGGCACCCACCAAACAAATACGAGAACATTCCACCATCGATTAAGGGCTCTGTCCCTGTTCCCAAAAAGCGTGTGCTTAACAACAACAACAAAACCGGACCCCTCCGGCTTACAGCCAAAAGCCACCACTTACCTTTCCTTGGTCCCCTTTGTAATGACACTGGCCAGGTCCCCTCCTTCGCAGTACTCCATCACGATGTACAGGGTTGTGTTGGTCCTGTCGATAATGCGGTCGTAGTAACGGACGATGTTTGGATGCTTCAGCTCCCGGAGCAAGTTCACTTCAGACACAAGCATCTGCTTCTCCACCTCCGTCATGGAGCCATAGTCGAGCTCCTTCCACACCAGGATCTGAAACACAGCGTTTTCGAGGCATGAGACGAGGCACGCCAACTTCCGGACCTGAGAACTGAATCCACTGGCTCACGTCTCAGTAAGTATCACGGCTCGCGGTCGCCAGGGCCGTGAATTCTGTCGGTCTGGTGGGATCTAAAACCGCCTGGGAGACAAAGCTCCGGGTGGATCAGCGAGGGGGGGCGTCTACACTGGGTAGATACGGGGGGGAAGACCCGGAGCGCGGGGTAGGGTCCACACCGGGCAGATCCGGAGGCAAGACCCGGAGCGCGGGGTAGGGTCTACACCGGGCTGATCCGGAGGGAAGACCCGAGGCGCCGGGTAGGGTCCACACCGGGCAGATCCTAAGGGAAGACCCGAGGCGCCGGGTAGGGTCCACACCGGGCTGATCCGGAGGGAAGACCCGAGGCGCCGGGTAGGGTCCACACCGGGCAGATCCTAAGGGAAGACCCGAGGCGCCGGGTAGGGTCCACACCGGGCAGATCCTAAGGGAAGACCCGAGGCGCCGGGTAGGGTCTACACCGGGCTGATCCGGAGGGAAGACCCACCCTAAACGTGGGTGACCCCGAGGCCCCACCAGCACGCGTCCCCACCCGGCCGGGGCCTCACCTTGCCGTCGCTCCTCCTCCGAATCTTCTGGCAGCGGCCGTAGGAGCCGGTGCCGATGCTGTGCAGCACCTCGTAGTCTTCCACCCGGGACGGCATGGCGGGCGGCACGCGCCGGGTCAGCCGACCGCAGCTCCCCGACCCCTCGGGCCGCCACAGATCTCACCGCACCGCCCGGAGCCCAGGCTTCGGTCTCCCGGGAACCGCGCCGAGCCCAGCGGAGTCCCGATCGGCCTCCGAGCCCGCGAGCTACCGGCCGCCCGGTCAACCGTCGCGGGCCGCGGCCTCGCCGCCTATTGGCCCACGGCGAAGGGAACTCTCGGCTCTGATTGGCTGAGGGGCCACAACACCGCTAGGCATCTTGGGAAAACTCGTGTCGCTAGGCAACCGCGTCGGGCGGCGTGGGTGGGGAGGGGGCGGCGACCGGTGGCTCTGACGGAGCAGGCGCCGCGGCGCCGGAAACCCCGGGGGACCTGGGGTCGTCCCTCCGCCCGGGTCGCCGAGGTAACGGGGTGGAAGCGGAGGGGGGGTGTCCCCGGCGGCTGCCGGGCCCGACGCTCGCCTTTCGACCTTTCCCCTTTGACCCTCGCCCTTTCCGGCCTGCCCTGCTCACACGCGGCCTGCGAGCCGGAGCCGGCGGCGGTGCGGGCGCGGGGGCCCTGAAGGACGCGACGAGTGCGGCCCCGGCGCTGTGTGTTCCTCCGCGCGGACCCGAGAGCAGGAGCCCCCGCTGCAGCCCGGCGTCTCGCTGTGAGTTCGAGGCCAGCCTGGGCCACGGAGAAAGTTCCAGGACAGCCGGAGCGGAGGAGGGGGATCGGAGGAGAGAGACACACAGAGACAGACAGACAGACAGACAGACAGACAGACAGACACACACACACACACACACACACACGGGGTGGGGGATCGGAGGAGAAGAGAAAGAGAGAGACAGAGAGACAGACAGAAAGACACACACACACACACACACACGGGGTTGGGGATCGGAGAAGAGAAAGAGAGAGAGAGACAGACAGACACACACACACACGGGGTGGGGGATCGGAGGAGAAGAGAAAGAGAGAGAGACAGAGAGACAGACAGAAAGACACACACGCGCGCGCGCGGGGTGCGGGATCGGAGAAGAGAGAGAGAGAAACAGACAGACACACACACGGAGGGGGTTGAGACACACACAGACAGACAGACAGACAGACACACACACACACACACACACACACACGGGGAGCGGGGCAGGAGGTGGGAGGAGAGAGGCTGGCAGAGAGGGAATGAACCTGGGTTCCTCTTTCTCATTTTCTCATGAGGAAATGGAAACTCGGCTTAACTCGTTTGCTTGGCCCAACTGCCCAGAAAAGAACTGACTTTTTTTTATTTTTAAAAAGAAAAAAATGTCAGCTGGGCGGTGGTGGCGCACGCCTTTAATCCCAGCACTCGGGAGGCAGAGGCAGGTGGATCTCTGTGAGTTCGAGGCCGGGCTGGACCGATAGCCTCGAAAACAATACAGAGAAACCCTGTCTCGAAAAACCAAAAAAAAAAAAAAGAAAGAAAGAAAAAAAGTCAATGGATGTTCATAGGTGTAGAGTTGACTTGTGAGTTGCAGTTACCATAGACTGTACCTCTGAACTGAGGGACCCGTTCAGCATGCAAGAGTATCAGAACTTAGGGGTGGGGTGTGCTTGCATCCAGAACACACAAAGTTCACTGCTAAAACATCTGCAAAAATACAGTGCTCCCAAATAGCCTGTGTGGGGTACTAGGTGCAGCTTACTGACTCCAGCAGCCCCACTTTTACCTGGGAGAGGAGCGCTAAAAGCCCCCACCCAGGGCAGCTAGAGGTTAGTGTGCGTTATAGTGATCTGGCGCACACATAGGTCATTGTTCTTAAAATATCTGTTCATGGTTCGAGTGGAAAGAACCCAACGTCCTGTTAAGTAGGAATTAGAAGCCTCCTTATGTTAAAAATAAAGAATTTTTATTTCGTGTGCTGAATTAAGTATCAACTAATTGGGATCGTCAGCCAGGAGAACTTTTAAATTAACGTGCAAGGACATCGTGTCACCTCACAGGGGTAGGATTAATTTAGATCTTCATAGGTTACGTAAGGAGCTGCAAATGGCCAGGTCATTTACATAGTGCGTGTGCTCACTGGTGTTCGTGTTGAGCTCCTGGGCCAGCCTACTTCACACCCAGCCCATCTCCTCTCTGGACACTGTGCTCTTTGCTCCAAGCCCAGCACGCTTTCTCAGCCCCTCCGCCCCACCCTGGCATCTGCTGTCCCATTTGTCAGAAATCCCACGGGTGTCCCCCATGCCTCACCCCATCATGGTTACTGTGGATTGCCAACATGACAAGATGTGGGATCACCTAGGAGACAGGCCCTTGGGCACACCGACGGGAGACATTGGGTTAGCCTCTGAGCATGGCTGTGGGGGTTTGTCTTGTTTGTATTAACTGGATTGGGAAGACACACTCTTAAAAGTGGGCAGCAACATTCCTTAGGCTTGGGCCCTTGCTCAGTTACTGTTCTACTGCTGTGAAGAGACACCATGACCAAGACAACGTATAAAAGGAAGCGTTTAAACGGGGGAGAGGCTTGCCCACAGCTTCAGAAGGCGAGTCCATTATCGTCATGGCAGAAAGCATGGTGGCAGGCAGGCAGGCAGGGTTGGCACTGGAGAAGTAGCCCAGAGCTTACCTGCTGAACTGACAACCAATGGCCAGGCCACCCCAAAGCCCACCCTCAGCGACACGCCTTCTCCAACAAGGCCATACCTCCTAACCCTTCCCAAAATGGTTCTACCAAGTGGGAACCAAGCCTTCAAATCTATGAGCCTATGGGGTAGACATTCAAACCACCACAGTCCCAGACTACATAAACAAGAGGAGGGGAGCTGAGCACACATGCATTTATTTATCTTGTGTTACCTGACTGCAGATGCCACGGCCAGCCGCCTCAGGTTCCTGCCTTCCCAGCCTGGTGAACCAAATGAGCCCGTCTTTTCCCAAGTTGCTCTTGTCCGGGCATTTTATCCAGGAAACAGGATGCCCCTCCCTTATGTTCATTCTGAGGACACAACTTGTCCTACGAGAGTGAATTCCAGCTTTGTCCCCTCTGTTCTGCAGGGCCTCATCCAAGATGCTCAGAGACCACTGTGCGTGTAAATCTATTCTAACTTGATATTTGCGATCGTTTCCCAGCTAAACCCCAAAGCACCTGTGGCCAGTATAAGCCCTGGAATAGAGGAGGCTTAAAAGACCCAGGGAGGCTGCTTATGAAGACTAATGCACAGATTTGCAGTGATCCCCGAAGTATTCGACCATCAAACACCCCCAGCTCGGAGGCTCAGCCTGGGAACTGGGGGAACCATCCTGGGAATATGAAGAGACAACAATAATAAACAGGGTGGTGTAGGTTTAGCGTGAGAAATCCTAGCCACTCCCATCACTGCGGGAGGGTGTTGGGTGGGGACTCCTCTCCGTGGTAGAAGGTTTATCTGGCAAGCACAAGGCCCGGAGTTCAGTTCCCAGAGTGGGGGAGGGGTAGATCAACAGAGAGATGTTTCCAGATACTTGATCACACTGTTAGGATATCTCTGTTTTACCTCACCTGCCTAAGGCACCTACTGATTGATGTAAGAAAGATCGGAATGGCCAGCTAGGCAGGAGAGGATAGGTGGGACTCAGGGAGAGAGAGGAACTCGGAAAGAATCAGAAAGGCGGAGACAGGGCAGCCAGACAGGAAATGGAATGTCAAGTACTGAGGGTCAGCAACAAGCCAAGTGGCAGAGCATAGATTAATATAAAGGGGTACTTTAGGTTTTAAGAGCTAGTTGAGAACAAGCCTAATCTTAAGACCAAGCATTCACACTTAGTAAGAAGCTGGCGGTCCAAAGAAAGACCTGCTCCAGAGAGATGACCTGCCCCTGCTCCAGAGAGATGACCTGCCCCTGCTCCAGAGAGATGACCTGCCCCTGCTCCGGAGAGATGACCTGCCCCTGCTCCAGAGAGATGAGATGACCTGCCCCTGCTCCAGAGAGATGACCTGCCCCTGCTCCAGAGAGATGAGATGACCTGCCCCTGCTCCGGGAGATGACCTGCCCCTGCTCCAGAGAGATGACCTGCCCCTGCTCCGGCAGCCTCCAGTGCCTGCCCGCCTGCCATGCTCGGGCTCACACTTGTCTTCACAGCCTGCTGCTGCCCTCAGTTTCCATTTGGTGCCTCTCAAGTGAGGGATCTTGTGCTTTGGGCCACAGTGCTGTTCCTGGAGGGCTCTGGGCTACTCTGCTATGTCAGGTCCAGACTGGCTCATAGTCCTCATCTTAAATTAGCATCTGTTGACTCAGTTCACTGAAGAGTCCCCAGAACCTAAGACCCCCCGGCTCTCTTCCAGGAGCCCCAGTGCACTGATACGGAAGGCCCACTAGAGAGCAGTGTGCCACCACCCGAGCAGCTCCGAGCCTCCTGCAAGCTTAAGATTGGCATTGGAGGGTGTCGGGTCAGACATTTTGTGAGTGAATCTTGTCTTGAGGATTAGTTGGGGCATTTTGAAATCTGTGAATATAGAAATGCTTTAAAGTTATTAGTAAAGGTTTCTACAAAGAAAAAGTTTCTTTGTAACCATCAGAAGCCAAAGGATTAAAGGAAAAAAGATGGCTGAGCCAAGAGCGGTGCAAGCAGTTGAGGATTCCAAGTTCAAGGCTAGCCTAGACAGCATCCTGATTCACTGTCTCAGAAATGAAAAGGAGGTGCTCAGCCCACCTTCCCTGGGTAAGTGCGGCGCCTGCCCTTCATCAAGAGGCCCCTCTGCAGCAAATGGAGGCTGTCACAGGAAACCACACCTGCCAGAAGGAGAGGAAGCCTCTCCCAGGGATGAGCCCCTTACCAGTTGTCCAGTTCAGAGGGGTCATCCTTGTGGGCATATACACACAAACAGAAAGAGACTCAACAGATGGTGTTTATGTGTGTTTGTGCTTGCACGTTAATACATGTGTGTAAATGGAGGTCTTTGTCCCACCCACAAGTTCCCAAATAACCACTACAGCGTAGTATGAATTACAACTGCTTGGCCAATGGTCCAGGCATATTACTGACTAGCTCTCACTATTTCTGCTAGTCTGTATGTTACCACGAGGTTCATGGCTTACCTCACATCTTGCTTCCCCAGCAGCCACCTGGCATCTCCTCAGCTCCGCCTTCTTTCTCTCCCCATCTTTGTTAGAATTTCTTCCCTGGCTCTATTCTGCCTGGCCATTGGCCAAATAAGCTTTATTTATCAACCAATAAAAGCAACACATTCTCA